GTGAAACTTTCAGTGTGTGGTGATTTCACCCTTTCACAGAACACACTCCATGCGGTGTACAACTAACTTTCCAACTTTCTTCTTTCTTTTTTCTGCATTACTCAACAATTTACCTCTAGAGCCCCTAGTGGTGCAGTTCCACATTACATGTGTTATAGTAAGCAATTATATTATACATAGAGACGGTTGTCTGGGAACGCCCCTGGGAACACCCCGTCACGTGATGTGAATTTAGCCCGTGGGGGAAAACATTAGGCTTGTTCGACTTCATGCAGCTCTGCGCAGACCGATCGGCGGCAGACTTGAAGCAGTGCATGCCGGTTAGAAATTTTGTCCGACTTGATACAGCGCCGACGCCACGTGACTGTGACGTATGCCATCAAAGTACCGCGAGAGCGATTCGAGAGTAGCCGGAGAACTCAGCCAGCGCAGCTTCTGAAGAGCGGCTGCACGAGCTCTGATGACGACACAGCTGTTCCACGATTGGCCGCGTTCACCGCATGACAACGATCACGTGCGTTTCGTGTTTATTCTCACACCTTTAGTTCACACAAATCAGTTTTTTATAACAGTAAACACTCTTTTCATGTAGTCGTGATGTTAGGCTATATTGTGTTATGTTTATCAAAATAAAAGTGATTAAAAAACGTCGACTGCACTTCATTGATAGTGGCTATTTTGAACTTTATTCTTGTTCAAACAGATGTAGTATGAAGCAGTACATAAAGTATTGAATGCAAATGTGTCTGAAACATCTGTGCATTTGGCAAATATTGAATTTATTTCACTTCAGCTGTGGTAAAGTATACAAACACCACGAGCGGTCACTACGGGAACCAGAAAGTGTCCGACTTCACGTCTCCGTTTGCAGCTCCTCCCCGCCTGCACGCGGCTACTCTCGCCGATCAGTTACATCCAGCCGCAGCCGATGTCGAACACACCTAGTGCCTTGGCGCTAATTGAAATACACGAGACAATCATGCTGAAGAGTTGCTGTGTCGTTTTCTGTACCCCCAATAAACAAACAAATTATGAATTGAAGTTCTACATCCTTCCTAATAAACACACAGAACCGGAAAGGAGGACAGGGACTTGTAATTTTTGAGATTACTGAGTAGATCCCTGTGTGATATAGTAGTGGGTGTTAAACTCGTAACGTTAGGCAGTGGGCCAGATTTGTCTACATCCCTTACGAAAAAGAACTATAGTAATCCTATAAGATCATAAGATTACTATAGTAGTTTATAATACTTTCTGTGATGTTCTGTAATACCTCTAAAGTACGTCCTCTATAGTATGTTCCAAAATACTATATTATTCCCATAGTATTCCTATAGGATTACTATAATATTTTGTCTTAAAATACTACAAGATTCCTATAGTTGTTTTTCATAAGGGATGTCTCATTCACATTAGCGTTATCAGCTGAAGGCTCGTAAAGACTGACGCGAGCCTACACTCAAGCACACTGTGAGGGATAACTGTCAGCACAGTCCCTCGGTAACTTCGTACTACGATCACCGTTTTACAAAAGGATTAATAGTTTGGAGTAAAGCATACGTACAATTGGTAAGTGACAAGGTTTTATGGAGTAATAGTATGCAACATATATGAAAGTTGATTGAGTTTATAGGCTGATGTTACCGCTACAGCTACCGCGATGTCTTACCTGGAGATTCAACCAGATAACAAAATATGTCTGGAAACGACACCTCCAGCAGGCCCGTCGCCAAGGCCCCCCCCCCCCCCCCCCCCCCAGATGGCACAACGTGCCCCCCTAATCATATGGTCATTCAGAAAACTTACTATTGAGAGAGAAAACGTTTCACGTATTCCATAACGAAATGTTGTTAGCAGCATTAGCAGCACACAGGTGCACTAATCTCTGTAACTTTAAATAACACATTGTCTTCAGAAATATGAATTGGAAAATCGGAGCGTGTGTAAAGGCAGCTATACACCGGGACGAATATCGGCGCGCGTTATTCGCCAGCGTTTTTCAGCGCGTTTTTTGTGTTCACACCCAAGCGATTTTCACTGACGATGAGCCGAGTGAACATGCAAATTCATTCCCTGACATTAGATGGCGCTTAATGTAAAACAGAAATACCCCGGCCGGTACTCTGCAATACCCCTCCATAACAGTTCTCTTTTATCGAGATTTTTGTAGTTTTGTGTTTTACTGTAACTTCAGAAGCTCCAGACACGTGAGCAAAAGCGCCAATCTCATTGGTCGGATAGTTTTTGACGCGGTGCGTCAAACCAAAAAAACGAACTCGAGGCGTTTTTTAAAAAATAACGCTTTTACGCGTGGCGTTTTTCGCGTCGGTGTGCACACTCACACTAGGATCAGTTTTCTCCGTAAAAAAGAATAATTGGCGAAACTTGTGTTTTGAGCGGTGAGTTGATTAGTTCTACACGCACGCAAATCCTATTGTTATAATTAGCAGTTAGGCTATGTAAATAAGGCATTATTGTGTATCAGCTTTACTGATAGCCTAATGGAACTTTGTGAGATCGCGATGAAGTTGTATAACCGCTTTTTAATGATAATAAAATAGGCGCTCTTTGCGAGCTTTCTGCCATGCCAAATCCTGCATATAGCCTACATGTTTCTAAAGGGGAAGCGCCTCATGGTGTTATGGTTCACCCTTCGCATATGATCAGAAACTTTTTGTGTTTTGGTGTTGTTTAAATATAGAATTTGGTCTATTTCAGTTATATTAGACTAAATAGGGGATGTTATTGTTTCTGTGACTGTCTGCTGTGTAGTTCATAAAAAAGTGTGCCAACCCATTAAAATGAAATGCCCCCCCATTCTATTTTTTCTGGTGACGGCCCTGAGTCTGACCTCCGGCCATTCGATTGTGTCATTGATCCAGTTTTTAATTATATAAGGGCAATCATAACCTATTGCAGTTAATTTTGGAATGTACCGTTGACGGTCGGCAGGCGTCAATGACTCGCAATATGACATTTTTTTTCATTCAAATACACACGATGTTCGCGGAGTCCATGCCCCCCCCCCAACCCCCCCCCCCCCCCCCCCCCCCCCGCCGACTCCTCCCTCGCCACGCCCCCAACTATGACTAGTTGCCGACTGTATGCGTATGAATTGAACATCACGTATTGTAGGCCTACTTCTCAACACAACACATTGTAAGTGAAATAAATGAATGTTTAATAATTTCCGAACAAAGCCAGCTTGTTGAAATCCACAATCCTCTTTTATCATTGCTTTTTCTCTCTCAGAAGTCCATGTTCACTGCTGTGGTTCTACTGAAGCTGTGATCCGATTGGTCGTCTCTGCTCTGGTGGGCGTGGCTACTGTCACTGTTCTGCTTTATGACATCAGATCCAGAAAATCAAGAAACTGATATCCTAAACATTGTGACATATCTCAGAGTTTTAATCTGTAAAGATGCAAATGGAATTATCAAGTTTATAAAAATTAATTTTTGATTTTTTTAAATAATAAATCACTGTTTGATGAAAGAAATATATTGAGGCAATGCACTTTTTATATGATATTAAAATATAATTTGCTTCAAATTGAACTTTGTTTAATCGTATTATTCTCATTATATACATAGTGTCATAAATAGTGTCAGAGTAAATATTATAGTGTAATCTGTGATGTGTGTGACCTCTAGCGGTGAGTTTGAGGAACTGTAGATTCATCACCCTGCTGATGCTGATGCTGTTTGACCATCATCTATAGACTGCACATAATATAAGCTATGTGTGATCCAAAAAGAGTCTATTAAAGTGACAGAGAAATAAAAAATATATGTCAAACATCTCAGATCAAACTTAGAGACCAACAGTGATATATAATGAACACATTATTTAGATTTTTTTAGAACAGCTGATCAGAGAAATTACTTTAAATTAAATAAATTCAGAAAAATAAAATGATCAGATAATATGTTATTGTTGTAAATATAAATAAACAGAAAACAAAATCAAAACTCTGATACCTGAAACTTGCAGATCATTTCAGCGATAAAAATGAACTGTAAGATGATATGAATGAAATAAAACAAGACCTTCACAATCTTTTCACTGGAAATATAATTTGCTTAAATAATTATCATTTAACAGTGAAACAGTGTATTGAAAATGTTGCATTTATTCCATGTCATCTGTTATTAAAAGCAACAGTAAACATTATACACTTACAACTTACATTTTACAGCACAAACATGTGAGAAACATAAAGAGCAAAAGTGACATTTCAGATTCTGAGTTCTAATGAAGCAAATAAACAGCTCTGCCTGAATCACAATACAAACGCTGTTTTGAAGCAAAATAATGTGTATGAATCTTTATACACTTCGCACATTGTATTATGCAAATACAATTGGTAATACAAATACAGTACATTAATAACAAGTCAAAAAAACCTGACAGTACAAGATGTAGTGCAAATATTTATATTTGTGCATTTAATACATTTGTAAATGAAATAAAGATGTTGACTTTCCTGAGAACTCATGTTTATCTTAAAGGTTGAAGTTGTCACAGTGCAAATATAGTGTTAAATACTGATTTGAGTGTTTCAATCTTCCTAAATATCACACAGCATTTGTTCTATGAATGTATCAAGATAATAAGTAGGTTATTGTTGAATTGAATAATAATTAAGTAACTACAGTGAAAAAGCGCCTCTAGTGTTTCTATCATAATGAGTCTCTATCAGAATCTTCACTGCAGAAACACTGAAGTCCTTCTCAACCTTCAACAAACACATAATCCATCTCTGAAACAAGGCTCTTATTATAATAAGCATGAGAAATTATCAATGTTAATCTATTCCAGGTTTATAAACTACCAAATAATAAGTAATGTTCATCCAATTGTCTTAAATTGTATGTGCTTGGTTGTTATTTCAGCACTTTTTATTAGATAAAACTTAAAATGATCTATTCTAAAATTCTAATGGCTAAATGATGTGATGACACTTTGCAGTGACACAAACACAGAAGCTCCTAATGATCCTGAATCTGCAGTTGCTGATCTGTAGTTTATATTCTCCAGAGTGTGTGTTTGTGGTGTTAGTGATGGTCAGAGATCCAGTGTGATGATCCAGCTTCAGTCTGTCTCTGAATCTCTCAGTACCTTCAGTCTGATTATTCAGGTTCAGTTCTCTGAATCTCTCATTAACTCCATCACACTGAGCATCTGTACAGATCTGACTCTGATCTCCAGTGATTTCAGCGATGGGCATGTAATTAAAATACCACGTCATCAAATCATTTGGGTTTTTTGTTACACCAGGATCTAAAGTGACAGATTCTCCCTCCGTCACTGACTTTCTCTTCATTTGATCTCGTTCAGCAGCAGAAACACCTGAAACACAAACTAACAGATGCTGGAGGATCTTTTAGAGGAAAAAACTCCACAACAAGAATTATCTGTGAAAATAATTGTGCATATTCAATTCCTGGATCTTGACAAATTCAGAAGAAACAAAAATGAACTGCAAAATTGCTAAATGTCAAGTTAATCGTGGATGTTTTAGTATAGATTTACTGTTTATGTCATCTCTGGTGTATTTATTTTTTTAATTATTTTTTTACAGACCTGCACATTTATTACACACGTACATGTTTAGTACAATACATTACTAAATTGAAATATACATTTCTACATTATAATATTTAAAATAAGCACATTATATATCTAAAGTATTTATAATGATTTGCAAACACTTGTGATCAATATATGAGATAAACTGACAAACTACAAGATTTTTACACATTTACAATTTCTTTGCATTTTATTGTGAACTAAAAACAATGAGTACGAAATAATAGATGCCTTTAAAAATTCCGGCCAGTTGATAATACCTAGAATATCAAAATCGACTGCTGGCGGTAGATCCTTTTCCTATTTAGCAGCAAAACTCTGGAACAGTCTTCCTAAAATTGTCGGGGAAGCAGACACACTCTGCCAGTTCAAAGCGAGATTAAAGACACATCTATTTGACCTAGCATTCACATAACACACTATCGACTTCTATATTTCAATGTTAGGCTGCATAGATTAGGTCAGTCGGAACCGGGAACACTTCCCATAAATCCTGATGTACTCGTTACATCATAAGAAGAAAGGCATCTACGCTAATATTAGGGTGTTTTCACACCTGAAAGTCCGCACCAAGGTCCGAACCAAAGTTCACGTTTTGATACATTTTATACTTTCAGAAAGTTTTGGTTTGGTTTCACACTGCGATTATGCGAGCGCACTAAAGAACTTTACGTGACATACTTACGTCCTGTCGTCATCATCTGTGGGGGCTGCATCTTGACATTGATTGGTTTGTAAATGGACGTGCGTCTGACGTCAGCGTGTTGTCAATTCGGCGGGTAACTTTGACAACATGAATGAACAGACGCATATCGTTGCAACTATATTGTTATTTTTATGGCATAATTACCTGCAGCACAAACTATACAAGGCTAGTTCAAATTCGCCAAATGAACGTCCTCGTCGTGCAAGCAATCATGCGAGCTCTGGCACCTACATTTGTGGAGAGACCAAGGTGAGTGGCAATATGTTTCCATACTGGCCGTCTGATTCAAAAGACGAGTTGTCATGGGTGATTTAAATAAATGTGTCCTTATTTCCTGTAAAAGGTCTGAAAGTCCGAACCATACAGAAATGCTTTCACACTAGAAACAAACCAAACCTTTGTTGTTTGATCCGGACCGAGACTACCTCTTTTTCGTCGGACCAAATTTCATCTGTTTGGTCCAGACCGTGGTCCGGTGTAGGTTTCACACCTATAATTTTGATTCGGACCAAACTGAAAAGTCAGAAAGTCCGGACCAAACAAGGTAGGTGAAAGGGCCCTAGTCTCTCTGTTTATCACGAGGTTTACGCAGTCGGCCGTATCCAGATCTGATGAAGGACCTGCGCCTGGACACACTCACACACACACACACACTCCAGACCTGATGAAGGACCTGCGCCTGGACGCGACGACGCAGTCCTGAAGTGTCACTAGTCCCTCACTGTGAAGGCCTCCTTCCCTTTACCTCTCTACAGATAACTCTACAGATCAACCGCGTTGTCGGGATAATTGCGGTTCGCGTGGCTACGCCGAAGCGATACAATTCTGTATCATAAATATTAAGGCCAGACAAGTAGTTTGTTGAGGGTTGGTTTTTTAGGGAATGACTTCATGCCTGCACACATGCAGTATATTCAAACGCTCATACCTATAGAATGAACTCTTAATACGCATGTGCACGCCATCAGCGTTCTCACAGGTTCGCGTTTTTAAAGTTTGTGTAGAGAGAATTTAAGAGTTTTCTGTTAGAACGGTGTCGTGTTAGCGCCCCCTAAGTTAATAACTAATGATCGTTGCGACGGAAGTGAATCAATCAAAACTTGAACTGGAAAATAACTTTATTCTAGAGCTGCTGTAAAGCCAAAGCAATCTCTGTTACTTTAATGTCCTATTATCACTGTAAAGCTGCTTTGGAACAATCTACTTTGTTAAAAGCGCTGTATAAATGAAGATGACCTGACTTGACTTAAACACATGAAAATAACTGGAATGAACAGAACAGAACTAAATGTTACAAACTAATGGATCATCAGTCGAAAAACAAAACAGTTGAAAGTGATTCAGATCAATGATGCAGATAAAGAGAAAAAGCTCTGAATGTCACTGATATAATAAACACGATGATGTGATTTAAACAACCTGGTTTCAGACATAATAACTCACCATGAACAGAAACATTGAAGATATTTTCAGTGTCGCTGCCGTTGATGATCAGTAGTGTATAAACTCCATAGTCTGTGTTTCTGATGTTCATGATGGTCAGAGATCCAGTGTGATGAATCAGCTTCAGTCTGCCTCTGAATCTCCAACCTCTCATTACGTTCATTACACTGAACATCTTTACAGATATCACTGAGATCTCCACTGATGTGAGCGATCTGAATCCATTTATGTCCGTATTGAAAATACCATCTAATATTTTCGTGTTGGTTTGTTTCAACACCAGTGCATATAGTGACTGAATCTCCCTCCATCACTGACACTTCTTCTGTATAAACACCAGACACACCTGAGGAAGTGAACAGATAATTATGTAATGTCTATGGCAGTGTTACGCCCTCACTAGGGAGCAACAATGAAGGAGGAAGAAACGTTTACGGCGGTTACAATACTCTCTTTATTTTACACTTTCTTCATGACAAAGACTGTCTCTCAAGCTCTCGCAATACGCCGCAACGCCGATCAACATCTCGGTCCTGGCCAGGGATCGATGTGACAGAATGGAACGCTCCATGAGGACGCCAAACAGGAAGCTTTTATTGACAGGCACACCTGTGCACCGGTGCACCCAATCCACCTGATTACTCCCTCAGCTCCGCAGCGCACCTGTAGGAGGAGCAACACACACCCAGACACGGCAAAACCACAATACAAGTATACAGCCGTAACACTCCCCCCCTTAAAAAAAAGGAAACTAATATGTTTCCGCCAACAATAAGCATTCATAACCGCACTAACAAATATAATTTAAGTATAGGCCTATACATACACAATAACAACAACATTGCTTACCCCCCGTGAATAAAGTAATAAATAGAAAAACAAACCTGTTAACTCTTCATCCAAGGCACCACCTAAGAAATGTTCTACAAGTGTGCCCTAGACAATGCATCGGCCACTATATTTTCTGAGCCCTTCACATGCCTAACATCTAAATGAAAGGGCTGAAGGAAAAGGCACCAACGCATCAGTCGTTGTTTTGGATTTTTAAGCGAATGTAAAATGTAAGCGGATTATGATCACTATAAACTATTACCACTGCACTGTTCCCACCTACATACACATCAATTACCCACAAAGCAACAACAATGACACACACAATGACGCACACAATGACACACACAATGACACACACAATGGCACACACAATGACACACACAATGACACACACAATGACACACACAATGACACACACAATGACACACACAATGACACACACAATCTTCCCACTTCTGAGCGAGGAAGTGGACCGGGGCAATCAATAATAATATAATCAAACGGTTGACATACAGCCGGAATTGGACGCAAAGGGGCTGGCTTTAACAACTGGTTCCGTTTACTGGCAAGCTTGCAAATTTACACTTGGAAGTCTTTGACTTAAGCACTGGACAATTCGACTTCCAATGTCCCTTTCCCAAACAATAATTACAGTTATCATAGTCACTTGACGTTTTTTTCCCCAAAACGCCCGATTGGACTCATAGGGACAATAGAAGAATTTACTCGTGTATGAACCTGATGTTGACTGAATTCATTAACACGGGGCTTATGAATAAGCTCCCAGTCATCAACCAGCAGTGCAGCCTCTGACACGGTTTTAACCTGACGCTCCGCAACATAAGTGGCTATCACCTCGGGAAGTGTATTTCTGTATTGTTCAAATAAAATCAACTCTCTCAGCTTATCCACTGTTGTACTATCTGCCGCTGTACACCACCGATCAAACTGCACAGTCAACCCTCTTACGAACTCAACATTTGTTTCATTCACCTTTCGCTGTAACGTACGGAACTTTTGCCGATAACTCTCTGGCACACGCTCATTAATTTTTAACACCGCCGCCTTAATGGCTTCATACTTCTGGCTGTCAACATCAGATAGCGTAGAATAGGCTTGTTGGGCTTTACCTGTTAACACGCATTGAAGGAGCAGAGCGCGTTCAACATCACTCCACTTATACGCTACTGCGACTCGCTCAAACAGGAGAAAAAATATCTCCACCTCAGCCTCATTAAACGGCGGTACTAATCGTAAATTATGAGCCACACTCAGTTTCGTCAAATCCGTATCAAAACCTCCCATTGGCTTACCTTCTTCGTGTAATTCTAGTCGACGCCTTTCAATCTGTAAACGCTGTTGCTCTACCTGTTGCCGGCTCTCCTCCAACTCCAACTCCAAACGTACCTTGTCACATTCCAAGCGACGCTTCTCACACTCAGTATCACGTTGTATCATCAACAACTCTTTCTGTTGCTCAAATGAAAGTGTGCTTAAAGCAGACAATGGAAGAGTAGTCGGAACAGGAGTACTTACGGCAGGCAACGCTGCTGACCCCGGTAATTTAGATTTTTTTCTCAAGATTTCAAGATCACACAACGCAGTCTCAATGATTAACTTAATTCCGTCCTTTGATCTTTTTTGATTATACGTTAGCTCGATTTTATAATGCGCAGCTAGCTCCAACAATTGCTCTTTGGTCATTTCCTCTAACAATTCCTCAGACGGAGTCTGAGAAAATGTTTCAATCAAATCGGTAGCCATAATTACCAATAATCACGCTCAATAAATATCAAATTTATTACTTTGACAAATCAGGGTTTATTTAAAGAAACTAAACCATCCAATTAAACTAGCTCAACCCTAGTCTTCAGTTGGCCCAAGACCGGGTATTTACGCACTAAATCCCGCAAGTTTGGGAAGACGACCAATTACCGAGTCGCCCCCCAAACCTCGGATGTGCCCCCGAGACAACTGCTCTAAGCCCCGAGCCAACCAAAAATAACAAACTAAAAAAAAAAAACTACGTGCCCAAAGACACGCACTAAACCTACCCGGACGGTTTGTTCTTCAAATACCCCCAACAAATTATGTTCTAGAACCTAACTAATTAATGGAGCGTTCCAATTTTTCAATTCACAAATAGTCGGATAATATACAAATATTCAAACATCAATTCAAAATTATCCTACCTTTTACCCTCCTTCACAAACAACGTTCTTTTTTTTTTTTCAAAATCATTCGCACGAATCCAAACACAAATTTAGTTCGACGAGCCCCCAATTGTTACGCCCTCACTAGGGAGCAACAATGAAGGAGGAAGAAACGTTTACGGCGGTTACAATACTCTCTTTATTTTACACTTTCTTCATGACAAAGACTGTCTCTCAAGCTCTCGCAATACGCCGCAACGCCGATCAACATCTCGGTCCTGGCCAGGGATCGATGTGACAGAATGGAACGCTCCATGAGGACGCCAAACAGGAAGCTTTTATTGACAGGCACACCTGTGCACCGGTGCACCCAATCCACCTGATTACTCCCTCAGCTCCGCAGCATACCTGTAGGAGGAGCAACACACACCCAGACACGGCAAAACCACAATACAAGTATACAGCCGTAACAGGCAGACATACAAAATGATACAAGAGGAAGTGCTATAAAAATGTTTCTCTACAGATCAAACAAGCAGCAGAAAAACACAGTCACTCAGACAAACTTACACATTAGATTTTAGGTTACATGAGGTTTATTGCACATCATAATAAACACCATAAACCAAAAATCTTGATTCATATATTGCATATTTTTAATCCCTTTATTTTTATTTTTTTTTAAAGATAACACACACACACACACACACACACACACACACACACACACACACACACACACACACACACACACACACACACACACACACACACACACACACACACACACACACACACACAATGCCACCAAAACAGTAACTACAGTCCAGGATAAATAATTCATCAAACGTTCAGTACCATTGTACATGCTACTTTGAGCTATACTAACAGCTTTAACCCCCATACCGTGTTGGGGACAAATGTGGGCAAAATAATTTTGATTTATTTTTTAAAAATACTTTCCTTAATCTGAGCGGTACGAGACTTGGCTACTTTTCCTAAATAATCCACCTGAACACACACATTTTTTTTTTGACTCGATTCTACAATGTTAAGTGGGTGGAAAAAAAAAAGTCCTTAATCTTGTGTTCGTGGACAAAAATGGGCACCCATAGGAATGAATGGGAAAAACTGTAATACTGTAATTCAGAGCATTTGTTTTGTCTAATAAAAATTAATAGATCCAACACAATGCATATCATACATACACACAAATGAAGGGGTGAGCCTGTACAACATTCTAAATTTTGCAAACACTCACACTCACACACACACACAAACACAGACACACACAAACACAGACACACGCACACAAACAAAGCATTCAATTAGCCTATTCACCTTATTCCGCCCCGCCCACTTTTAATACTTCGCGCTTCCGCATTTTGTCATCCGACTTCCGCTAAACTGGCACGGCACATCCGGTAGCTATTTCAGTTGTTAGAAGATTGTTTTTTAGCTAGCCAAAACTTTAGCAAAATGTCAAATAACGTTAATACCATAAATGTTTTAAACTGGGAGCACGGAGAAAACTTCATAGGACGATCAGTTGGTCTCACATTGTCTCATCCATCGTCATTGTTAACGTGGCCAGAGGTAACAGTTAACCTATGTGGACATATTTAACTACTTCGTCCTGTTAGGAGTTGATGGAGCAGCAATAACAAATTATGTGTAAATAAGAAGGAATGAGAATATTTAGTTAAGGATAGGAGATGAGGTAATTGGTTAAATATAAATGATTAAATAAGTTGTATAAAATCAGTTGTAAGAAGTGTTTGATGTTTTCAGGAAGCTAGAGACACCTTCTACTGACCTTCATGTAGATACATTTCACCATTTAAATGTCTTAAGTAATAAACCAAGATGGTATTCATTTGCAAACTTGACGTGACTTATTCCTTCTAACTAGAAGACTTAATTCATTTAAGTTTTAAAGGGAATCTACAGAGCTCACATATGGTTTAATAATAAATGACTGACAGGTGAAATCTGGTCACATTGTAAAGGTTTATAAAAATAACTTCATAACAGGTAAAATCTGGTCACATTGTAAAGGTTTA